CCTAGGTTGCCCTTTCTGTTCGTCTACGTGATATCGTCCGATAATTTCCACACTCTTTTGGGTCACCTTTCTTTGGAATGGGAACCAAGCACTGATCTCTTCCAGTAGCAGGCCAGCTAGCTGTCCTCCAGATTTCCTGGCACGACTTAGTGAGTACATCCAGGGCAGCATCTGTTTGTTGAAATAAATCAGTTGATATGCTGTCAACTCCTGGAGACTTGTTTTTTACCAATTCATTCAGAGCAACTTGAACTTCCTCCTTCATCACCATAGGCTCTTGCTCATATGTTGTTTCATGAAATCCCTCTGTGTCAGCCAATTCCTTCTGATACAGTGACTCTGTTTACTCCTTCCATCTTCTTTTTATACTTCCTGGATCATTCAGCATTCTACCCAAACTATCTTTAAGTATTGCCACCCATGGCTTGAATTGTTTTTCAACTCCTTCAGCTTATGAAATGCTGAGCGAATCCAGCCCTTTTGATTTTCTGACTCCAACTCTCTGCACATTTCATTATAGTATCTTGCTTTGTCGTCCCGAGCTGCCTTTTGAAATTTTCTGTTCAGATCTCTGATAGATAATTGAATTGTCATTGTATAAATGGTAATTAAAGCATGGAAATAAGTACTACCTTACAGGGAGACTATATAGAATAAAACAAGAAGAGACTGAAAAATTGACCAGAATTCCTTCAGGGTTAAAACGGTCAGACAGAAGGCAATCCAAAATGTAAGAGGAGAACATTATATCTTTTGAATTCAGGACAGCAAGCATTCCTTGATGGAAAAGAAGATGGGTTTTATCTTCTATGAGTCGAGCAGAATGAGTAAAAATAGGAGACAAGGAGGGAAATGAGTATATAAAGAAATAGTTTCAAAGAATTTATTTCATCAACATAATGAAATTTCTAATATAGAGAGGAGTTACGTTTGTAAATCAGTCATTCCTTAGGGTTGCATGTAAATGATCCAGGAAACAGATAATACTGAGAAACTGAAAATACAAACAAGGGGGGCAGGACCCACTCTTACTCTGGGCTCTAAGTGAGTCTTCGAAAGTTTTTGCCCAAAAAAGATATATCCCACTTTATCCCCTAAACTCAGGGGACTTGAGGGTCATTCCCCAAACTGAAAGAACCTGGGTGGACTTCAAGGGAGTGCCTTGGTTCAGTGCCCACCCAGGCGTAAACTTAGTAGTAGAACGGTTGTTCCATGGTTTACAATGGTGGGTGTAAAGTTCTTCTACAGTCTTTTGAAAAAGTCAGGCTTGCTTTTCTTTTGTTTATAATGATTGCTTTGTTATTACTCCATGCCTGTCTACCAGTTATTTATATGTAACAAATAAATCACTCATTTCTTTGTCACAAAAGCTCTCAGATGTTGGTACTATTTTGTCCCTGTTTTACAGTGCAGGTTTGGTAAATTTGCCCAAGGTTGTTTAGCTCAGAAGTTGTAGACTTAGATTTTCATCCTGGGGAATCTGTCTTGAGTTCATGCTTCTAACTATCATCCTGCAGGCTTGTACTATTATTATTACTACTATTGTATTATTATTATTATTATTATTATTATTATTATTATTATTATTATATTATCATTATGTAGTACAACCTGTATTTTCAAATTGGAAAATTTGAAAGCTTACCACTCACTGACTTTTTCTTGGCTTTTTCCTTGTTGTGATACAGAGCTTTATTTTTATAGTGGTACAGTTTACTTTTCTTTAAAACCACTGGAGATTTTAAGTCTGTTCAAACTGAACCAATGGATTGTAATAAATTACCAAAGAAAAATATCATCAAAAAGCTTTTTCTGACAGCTTTTAACTTGAAATCATGAGTCCTCTTCCTCCCACCCTCCTGCTTAGGATGTTTGTGGTTATAAAAGATTTATAATTCTCTTTCAAGATTTTGGGCTAATTTATGGTTCTTGGATTTAGATGTTGAATGATTTTTGTTTTTCTTAAGTTTAAATCATTCCTCAGCAAAGTAGTAAATTTATGGAGTAGAATTAACCTGTGTTCCTAACAGATCACACTTGTTGCCAATGAAACGAAACACTGAGAATTCTCTTAAAATCCCGAAAGAGTTAATATGTTTTAACAATGACCTAATTTACTACTTACTCCCTGGAGAGCATGTGGTTTGTTGAATATAGGTTCTCAGTGTGCTAGAAAATATTGCGTTCATGGTCCCTTTATAGAATCTCTATAATTTTGTATACCAAACAGATCTGAATTAGGATTTGTTGAGAACAGAGTTAAAATATATGCCTTTAAATGATAAAATATTAGAGTCAAAACAATCCTGGTGATTGTAACAATCCAGGTGCCATTATTTAATTGAGGAGCTATGGAATGTGCACAGAAATTTATGGGAGCACAGAGAAAACCCCTTGTCTAGGATGAGGGATGGGAAAAGGGAACTACAGAGAAAAGCTGGTAAGAGGTGATACCTTATTTTGGATACTCAGAAAAACTCAAAACTCACTATTCTCAAGTCAGTTCTGATGCCTCGTGACTTTCCACCGAGTTTCCGAGGCTGTGAATCATGATGGGAGGAGACCGCCCTTGGAGCTGCTGGTGGATTGTAGTCATTGGAGCCATGTGACTTTTAGGTCAATAGGACAACTTACAATGAACTCAGAGCTTCCTTTATGCCTGATGGAGGGTAAGGTGTTCGCGTTTTATGCACTAGTGTCAGTGAGTTGATGCTGTCAAAATAATTTTACTGAGAAGGACTTTGAGGCTCAATTTTAACACAGCAAGAAAGAATGTCCATGGTTGTGTGTCCATGGGGGAAATGGATGCAGATAACATTTGTGATTGCTGTTTCAATGGATGAATGTCAGCAAGCAGAAAAGGATGTTATTCTACATAGCAGGACTAGCTTGAATAAAGGTTTAGAGGCACGTGAGAGCTTAGGGGTGTGTGTGGGCTACTATAGTGGTGGAAATTGCTGAGACATAGTAAGTGAGCCGAGGAAAGGGTGGGCAAGATGAGGCTGCAGAACAGTTTAGAGCCCAGAACATGGAAGGCGTTGGATGCCCAGGAAGGAAATTCACTGCTTAGAGAAAAAAGGTTTATTCAAGGTGTTTAGTGGTGGGCCTACACAGAACAATGAAAGAGACTAGAAATACACTGATTTGGAACTATACTTCTTCTGCATTCTAGCTATAAGCCAATAGTGGAATATATTGATGCCCAATTTGAGGCCTACTTGCAAGAGGAGTTGAAGATCAAACGTTCTCTCTTCAATTACCATGACACAAGAATCCATGCATGCCTGTACTTCATCGCACCCACCGGACATTCACTGAAGTCCCTGGACCTGGTCACAATGAAAAAGCTGGATAGTAAGGTAAACTGGACAGTGGTCATCTACCCTCTTGTAAGAGGCCCTAATTTACTGTCTGCTTTCAGTGCAATTTGATTTTTTCTGATCTTCAGAAATCACAGGGGTTGGCAATGTTAGAAAATGCTTTAAAACTTGAGAATGTTTGGCAGAACACTCACCCCAAACATACGGTTTATGACTTGTTACAAAGTACTTTTTGTTCTTAAATTAGCAGCATTTTTATTTCCCTCTTGGTTAAGTTTGAAAACATCAAATGGTTAAATTTAGTGAAATTGAAATATTCATAGGGTTTTCTTGTTTGTTTTTCATTTTCTCTAGATCTCTCTAAAAGATCTTTAAAGGTTTGGCTTTAACTCAGAATTTCGAATGAAAGAGTTTTTCTTGTTTTCCTCTGTGATGAGGGCAGTCCAGCTTCATGGATTTTAAATAAAACAGCACACATTTTGTTCAAAGCAAATAAGGTGTTAGTTTTAGTTTGACCCTAGAACTTTTCATATTTATAATCTCTGGTTCCCAACATTTGAAAGAACTGATAAATTTTATACAATTTGATGTCCTACTTTACAATACAAGGAAGTCTGGAGGCTGAGTTATTGTGTACAGTTGAGCAAAACCGACCCGTAGCTGACCCTCCAGCGGGTTTTCAGAGGCAGTTAATCACACAAGAGGAAACTACCCATTCTTCTCCTGTGGAGCAGTTGGTGGCTTTGAACTGAGTGTCTCTGGGATTGCAGCATGACTTCTTGCCAGTAGGCCACCAGACTGGTTGCTTAGTAGTAAGCAATTATGCTGTCAACACAGAGGTACATGGTTTGAATCTTCTAGTTGCTCCATAAGAGAAAGATGGGCAGTCTCCTCCCATGCAGTTTACTGCCACTGAAAACCTACTGGAGAGTGGATTCCTGCTCAGCGGTACTTAACAACAACAACTTTATAATACATTCTATTTTCTATTTTGAAACAAATGGCAGGCAGTACATTCTAAAATAAAACAGAGGCAAATGCCAACAAAAAACAGCCGTGAAATTAAGCTGTGGTATTTTCTTTTAGCTTCTTACCATTTTTTCAGTGTTCTACTTTGCCAGAGGAATGAAATAGTGAGACGATGCTCTGAATATCAGCCTACCTCAAAGAACTCTGTTAGAATCAACTGCAATGGAGCCTGCAATGACTGAGGCACAACCAGACTTCTTTTACTATTATTATTTTTTATTTTATTTATTACTTTTTAGAACCAGACTTCTTGAATGTTCCCCAGGCACAGTAGAATTGCTTCATGGAAACATCTTAGTTGCCTGAAGGAATCAGTGCAGCTGGAGTACTCTTGGAAGAGTAAATAGAAACCCTTCTTTTCCCAGTTTGACTGAGCTGCATTTCAGACCCTGGGGACTGCTGTGCTCACATCCACTGCAGAGGAAGCACCAGTTTTAGGCTTCTCCTTATGCCATATGTCTTGGCAAGCAGGATCTTTGCTTTCACCTCCTTATCCCCTTATTTTTTGGAGTACCCAGTTTTCTACAAATTTCCCATTTTCTTTTGACTTGGGTCCAAAGATCATAAATTACCGATTTTTTTTAACTTTGAAGTACTGTGATTGCTTAGGATTTTTGATAAAAGTTCTGCAAAATATAAGACAGACAAGGGCAAAATAAGATTTGTTAGAAAACTAGGATATAAAAATGCACACCGTTTGCTATCAGATCACTTCTGACTAAAGGGTCAAGCATGGGTAGTATTACAAGACTACTTGAAGTTTTAACTCCTTTTATAGTACCTAACATTTTTACAAGGTGCATTAATTACTTGATATTAGACAAAACATGTTTTCTTAAAAAAGATTTTAAAATGTATTTGAAAGCAAGTAGCTGGAACATGTAATGAAGACCCACAAGTATTCGGAAGGAAGTAAAATGAGGTGACTTCTTAACTGGCCACTAAGTATATTGTCTAAAGCCAGGTTAATATCCAACTATGATTATGTTGCCCTTGTTGTTCTTAGGTGTTGTTGATTCAGTTCTAACTCATAGGGACCCGATGTACAGTGAAGTCTTACACAGTCCTTACAATTGTCATTATATATGAGCTCATTGCTGCAGTCACTGTGTCAATCCATTTTACTGAAGGCTTTCCTCTTTTTCACCAACCCACTGCTTTACCAAACACAATATCCATTTCCTGGTTCCTCCTGGATGATGTTCAAATTAAGTGAGGTGAAGTTCACGATTCTTACTTCACAGGAGCAGTCTGTAGAAAGTGCAGCACTTTCTGCATAACATATTTGTTTTTTGTTTCTGGCAGTTTGTTGTAGATTCAATATTCTCCTCCAACACTGTAGTTTAAAGACATCAATTCTTTTTTGAACTTTCTTGTTCATTTCCCAGCTTTAACATGCGTATACGAGGTGAAAAATAACATGGCTTGGCATACCTTAATCTTCAAAGTGACTTACTTGCTTTTAAATAATTTCTCCGGAGGTGTTTCACAGTAGATTTACCCAATGCAGTATGCCATTTTACTATTTGACCACTATTTCCATAGACACTGATGGTGGATCAAGGAAAATGACATCCTTGACAATTTCAGTCTTTCTCTGTTTTTCATGATGTTGCTTATTGCTTCTTGGGGGGGGGGGGAAATACCCATCAACAGAAAGATATTTTTTTTTCTTTTTTTAAAAAAGATGTTTTCTGCTTTTGGATAAGATCTATTTACTACCAGCAGTGATACCCAAAATTCCATGTCCTTTTCGGAATCCAGCTTAAATTGGTGGCAGGTCTCTGTTGATATATGGCTGCAGCCATTTAAAAAATTTTCTGTGTGATTTTACTTGCATGCAGTATTAATAATACTGTTCAATAAATCCTTCCTTGTTGGATCATTTTTCTTTGAAATGGCCACAAATATGGATTACCTGCAGTTGGTTGGCCTCATAGCTACTTTCCAAATTTCTTGCTTGACACAATCAAGTGAGCTTTTGTAACATTGCATCTGTTTGTTAAAACATCTCAGTTGTTAGTCTATCAATTCTTGAAGCCTCATTTTTGCCAATATTTTTAGTACAAGTTGGACCATTTCTTTCAGTACCATTAATTCTTGATTATCAGCAGTTATTTTTGGTAAAGTGACTATTCCTTCCATCTTATTTTGATGGATGTTTCTTCCTGGGCTGGTTAGTATTGTACCTAATGAATCCGTAAGTGTTAAAACCCAAGGGCTGAATTATTACTTCAGTTTTTTCCTTTTGGGAAATGCCAAGCATGTTTCCCCTTTTGGTTTTCTGACTTTAGGTCTTTGCAAATGTCATTATAATACTTTGCTTTGTCTTTTCATCTTTTATTTCATTTCATTTGCTTTATCTTCTCTATAACGCAGGTTTCAGAGTCTACTAACATTTCTTTTGCTTTCATATAATGTCTTTTATGTCATCTGGTCATTAGTGTCCAGTAAATAAAAGCTGTTCTTGAGATGGTCTCTAAGTCCAGGTAGAGAATACTCAAGGTCTTATTTTGATTCTGTGAACTTGTTTTCAACTAACTTGCATCATTCAGTTGAGCAATTGATGGCCTGTTCCTCAGATGGCCTTTGGCTTTGTGTTCTGACTAATGACTGAGTTTATCAATTTTTTTTTTGCAGGTGTAGTAGTGCATTCCATCTGATAAGGCTCACATGTATAATTGCTATTTATATTGAAACAAGTATTTCTAGTGGTCATTGGTCTTACAGAATTCTGTTATATGATCTTTGGCATCTTTCAACGAGACTCTATTTTCTAATTATCTAACTTTATTTGTTATTTCTAGATCTCATGCTCCTGTTGCCAGTATAATTATCAGTGTTTTTAAACTGCAGAATTTAAGAAAACTTCATTTTCTTCATCTTTGGCATTAGTAGTTGGTGCATTAATTTGAATAATAGGTTTATTAAATAGTTTTCCTTGCAGGCATATGGACATTATCATGGTGACAGGTTGCACTTGAAGATAGATTTTGAAATCTTTGTTCTGGTGAGAAATGCGACTCTATTTCTCTTTAATTTCTCATTTTTAGCATAGTAGATCATATGATTGTCTAGTCAAAAAGGTATATTTCAAGATAGATTTGGGGGGAGGGTTAAAAGTTTACAGAGCAAGTTCATTTCCCATTCAACAATTCATGCACAGTTTTTGTGACATTAATTGCTGTCTCCACAATGTAAAAGCACTCATACCACTTCCTCTCTGTGTTTCCACAGGCTACATCTTGAAGTATTAGTTTTGATGATGAATGTAATGTCATTCCTCCTCAATTTATCATTCTCAGTGTAGTAGACCATGTGGTTATCCAATTTATAATGGCCAAGACCAGTCCACTTCTTTAGCTCACTAATGCTTATGATATCCATCTTTTTCATATTCCAGGTCTCTTTTTTTTATGATTTCCAATTTTTCTGGGTTTATACATTGTATAGTCCACATTCTGACTACTAATGATATTTGCAGCTGTTTTCTCTCATTTTGAGTTGTGCCACATCCGCAAGTTGAAGGTTCTGATAGAGCTGCTAAAACCTGCCCACTGGGGATAAGGTGCATTAAGAGTGGCCCTCCTGGCGTTTGAAATGCCCGTGGTATTTTGAGCATCACAGAAAACGTGCATGCCACATGCATGTATGAAAAACTGACACATGAGTTGGGAATGGTTATTTTTATAGGATTTATTTGAAAAGGAAAAGAGGTAGAAAAAAATTTTTTATATATATATATATTTACATACACACAATTGAGAAAACAAACCCCACACACAGCAGGTGAGAATTTCAAAGCACTGACACTCTTGTAGGGTTAGAGAGCAAAGTAGCATCTAACCTGTTGTCAGTTTCTTTTATACAAGTCCGATGAAGAGTTATGGTTCATATATGACCATTACATCAAAAAACTTTCTAATGTCTGCCACTCAAGAAAAGATTTTGCATCTAAATGGCTTCGATTTGTCTGTCTACCTACTCTGATCAAAATGTCCAAAATATAATTGCAGCTGTTTTGTGTATGTTGGTATTAATTAAATGTTGAATGTGTGAAGATAACTGATATGAATGATAGAAATGTTTTGGTTCCGCAGGCCCCCAATTCACATTCTCCTACCCAGTGTTTTCCTCAGTCTACATCTTGCTGGTGGAATCCCAAGCTTGATGGGAGTAGGAATGCATTAAGGAATTGGGTGGAGAACAGGCTTTTCTATCAGCATGCCATCTTGGGTTTTACCAGGAATTTGTGACTTGACTCATGGAATAACAAGAGGAGCAAAGGAATGCACAGGGGACCTGAAAAACTTGTCTAAAGACTATTTCCCTGGCTCTGTCTGCTTTCCCGTCCAGAGTTTCCATTCCCCTTTCACCTGAACTGGGTGAGAACATGGTCCTAGTTATCAGATGTCAGTATTATCATATGAATCCTCTATCCAAATAGGGAAAGGAAACTTAAATTTTTTTTTATTATTATTGCCTTTGAGTCAAGCACGACTCATAGCCACTGTATGCACAAAAGGCCTGAAGCCTTTCTATAAACTATCGACATTTGTCAAAGTACATAGAGTTACTGGAGGCATGTTGTTTAGGAAGTGGATGTCACTCCTGCTTCCAACTAATCTTAACTACTATTACTTATTATTAATAATTAATTAATCACTTACTTATGATTATTAATCTTAATAAGTATACTTTAAAGAATGGGTCCAGGAAACATGCCTTGGGACATTGGCCAAAAAATCTTACCATGAATTTTTAGAGTTCACACACTATGGCTTCCATGGTGTCCTGAACTTTCTGACTTTATTGTCCATTATCACATTTTATGATCTTCCTGTGCATTGTACCCTGTGTGGTGAAAATGAGCCCTGTCTTTGGCACTAGGTCTCATTTTGACCCAGAGGAATAATATGATAGTAACTGGTTTCAAAAGCCTTAGTTGGCCCTTTCCCTTCCTCTTTGAGTGCTTAAGGCCGGCTTCCGTCTCCTCTTCATGTCTTCTGCTGCTGCCTAGCTCCAGTTACAGCCAGTATAATAGGCTTAGGAGACCTTGAGACTGCCGCTGGCCTCCCGGTCCTCAGTGATTACCTGGCCAACCAGAGCTAAATCAAGGGGCATGTGCCATCACATGCAGATGTAGTGGTGTTTGAAGCCATCTCCAGCCCCCCACCTGCCGATCTGTGTCACGCTCTCTATTGGTAAAATCACATCAAGTCTTATGAGAAGGAAGAGGCCAGCCTGCCAGGAATGAAGAAAGTTTTGGCAAGTATGGCCCTGTTGATGTGGAAGACACCACAGGAAGTGGAGCCTCAGACAGGAAAGATGACAATGACATTCATCTCTTTGGTTCTGAGGAGGAGGAAGAAAGTGAGGAAGCAAAGAAGCTAAGAGAAGAACATCTTCCTAGTATGAACCCAAGACACCCAAGAAACCCACTCTTATTTAGGCGTGAAACCTTGGGATGAAACATGGCGAAATTGGAAGAGTATGTAAGAAGTATTCAGGCGGACAGCTTGGTCTAGGGCTCCTCTCAGCTGGGAACAGTTGGATATGGAATCAAGCTTCAAATACAGTGTGTAGTGGAAGATGATAAAGTTGGCAGAGAGATACTGGAAGAACAGGTAACTGCTTTTGAAGACTATGTGCCTTCCATGGATGTGGCTGTTTTCAACAAAATCGCAAGTCCATCTGCATCCATCATTAAAATAAAAAACTTTTTTTTAAAAAACAAAGCCTGAGTTGGTGTGTTTTTGAAAGTTTTTAAAGTAAGTGAAACAATAATAGAGGTTTTACTGTTGTCAATTAATGTTGAGATTCTCCTCTCCCAGCAGTTTTCAGGTCATAGGAGGAATAAAAACGTTTTATCCTCTGTTTAGTGCTATAAACTAACAAAACTTTGTTACTACACTTGCAAAAACCACCTGAAGTAGCTAGGACAGTTTAAAAGGCATAGCTGGTTATTCAAAGAATAAAATTCCTTGTTATCACTGTTTGTCAGAGAATAGTAACACTTCCTTTTCTAGTCAGTAAGGAAGAATGGGGTAGCACAGGAAAGGAAATTACAAGTATTCCTTCAGACCGAGAGGAAGTCAAAGTGTCGGGAGATAGAACTCAGATTATCCTCAAGTAGAAAGTCTGATTTTCAACATTTGTTTTGTGAAAATGATTATTTTTACTGTGAAGTTGTATCATTTTTATCTATTTGTTGACTGTATTTCATTCGTCTTTTTTTATGCTGGAATTATAGACAGTGGGCTTGTTTCTTTTACAGGTGAACATCATTCCAATAATTGCAAAAGCTGACACAATTGCCAAGAATGAACTGCACAAATTCAAGAGTAAAATCATGAGCGAACTAGTCAGCAATGGCGTCCAGATATACCAGTTCCCCACAGATGAAGAAACGGTGGCAGAGATTAACGCAACAATGAGTGTAAGTTTTCAAGGAAGAAGGGACCACAGAGATTTTCCTGGAAGTGTTTCTTAGCAAAGCATCACAGAGTGGCTGGAACACTGACTGAACTAAAAATCTAATGTCCTTGATAGTATTCCAGCTCTGCTGCTATTCAAGTCACTTAAACTACCTTGCTTCTCAGTTTCTCCTCTATCAAATGGGATTAATGGACAAGATGATCTTAAATTTTCTTTCAGCTCTAGCAGTTAAGATTCCATGACACATTTTGTAGGAAGCGAATATCAGCCCAGCACTATTTCTACCAAGAAATATGCCTACTTACTTCACTTTTGCTTCTCTAACTAGTTTCATTCTTTCCTTCTTTTCTGTTTTCCCAGACCTTTTCCTAAATCATTAAGTAAGTTGGCAGTTAAGAGTACAATTTCCACATCACAGAAATCTTGACAGAGGATGAATGATACAACTGTACCTGTGACTATCATCTCTCCTTCTGGACCTTGTCTTGTCATTCGGGACTCATTCTTTCCCCACTGCTCCTGCGTCTCATATGCATAAGTTACCCATGGACAGAAATGACTATACATGCCATTTTAATTTGGGAACCTGTAGCTTCTACAAAAGCACAAACTCTGCACATACTAGATGCCCGATGATGATTATCTTAATTCCTAGGATTGTCTTTTCCAGCACTGGCCCTCTACCCTTCCAATCAGTGTCCTTCTCTAAGGACTAGTCCCTCCTTGCAGCATGCCCAAAATATGAGAGACAGAGTTTCAAAATTTTTGCCTCCAAGGAGCAACTTGGTTTACAATCTCCAGGACAGACCAACAGCAGCATTGTTGTTGTTATGTGCCATCGAGTCGCTTCTGACTCATAGTGACCCTGTGTACAACAGCCCTAAACCCTGCTCTATCCAGTGCCAATCGCACTGCCTCTGACACACCCATCCCGATTACCCCAGTCACTGAATCAATCCACCTCATAATTGGTCTTCCCCTCCTGTGCCATCCCTCGACCCTCCCAAGCATGATGTCCCTCTCCAAGGACCAGTCCCTCCTTATAACATGTCCAAAGTATGTCACACGAAGTTTCAGAATCCTTGCCTCCAAGGAGCAACCTGGTTTGACCCTCTCCAAGATGAATCTGTTTGTTTTTCTAGCAGTCCATGGTACCCTCAATACTCTTCTCCAGCACCATAGCTCAAAGGCATCAATTCTCCTTCTATCTTCCCTAGTCATTGTCCCAACTATCTGATGCATAACAAGTGATTGCAAAGACCATGGCCTGTATCAGATGCACCTTAGTCTCCAGAGAGACACCATTGCTCTTCAGTACTTTGGAGAGGTCCCTAACAGCAGACTTTCCCATGGCAATACGTCTTTTAATTTCCTGGCTCCTGGCGCCAAGAGTGTTGACTGTGTAGCCAAGCAAACTAAAGCTGTGAACAATCTCAATCTCTTCAACATTCATCCTGATGCTGCCAATTGGTCCAGTGGTGAGAATCTTTGTCTTCTTGACATTGAGCCTCAATCCATATTGATGGCTGCAGTCCTTGACCCTCTGCAACAAGGAATCTGCATGGGCAGAATAGAGGCCAGTAAAAAAATGACTCACAGGGAAAACTTTGCCCCACCCCACAGGTAAACAAAGGCCCAAGGCAGCGCTGAGATCGTTCCCTGGACATGGAGAGAGGGGGATACAGAGGAGGGAAGCAGCATTAGGAACTATTAAATAGCTTGACATTCTCTAAATACATGCCAAGTAATTACTGAAAAGTGTGCTGCTGGCAAAGGAAGGCAGTTTTTAAATCTGTAATAGTTTGAGGTATGTTCTACTTTTTTACTTTCATAAGAAGTTTATCTAATCAAGTCATTATGCAATATATTAAAGGCACTTCATTTGTCTTTTTTAAATAGCAGCTTTTTAAAGACATAATTGACATAATATATAATCACCCACCAAAGGTATACAATGAAGTGGTTTTAGCATATTCCTAAGTTGCACAGCCATTGCCGCAATTCATTTTAGAAATTTCATTACCCCAAAAAGAAACTCTGAACTTTTTAGGAGTCACCTCTGTTTTATTATACATCACCCCCCACCATTAATCTTCTTTCTGCCTCTATAGATATACCTATTCTAGGCATTTTTATATAAATGGAGTTACATCAAACCTCGTGTAGAGAATTAAGTATCTTACCCAAACATCTGTTGTGCATGGGGTGCATAGAAGAGGACATGAAGCATTTGCTGGAGAGGGTCAAGGACTGTAGGCTGCAATATGAATTGAAGTTCAGTATCAAGAAAACAGTTTCTTGCCTCTGGGCCAATTTGCAGCACCATGATAGATGGAGAAGAGATTGAGATTGTTACCAATTTCAGCTTGCTAGGTTCCATAATCACCAGCAGTCAGGAAGTTTTTTTTTTAAAAAAGGCATTGCACGAGGAAAATCTGCTATCAGGGACCTCTCCAGAGTCTTGGAGAGCAAGGATGTCAGTCTAGAGACTAAGGTGCACCTGATTCAGGCCAAGGTCTTTGCAGTTATTTGCTATGCATCAGAGAGCTAGACAGTGATCAAGGATGACAGAAGAATTGATGCTTTTTGAGTTGTGATGCCGGGGAAGAGTTTTGAACATACCATGGACTGCCAAGAGAAATAACAGGTGTGTCTTGGAGAGGGTGAGACTAAGGTACTCCTTGGAGGCAAGGATTTTGAGACTCCCATCTCACATACTTTCTTGATGTAGCCAGGAGAGACCAGTCTTTGGAGAAGGATATCAAGCTTGGAAGGGTCAAGGGCCAACCCAGGAGAGGAAGACCCCGGATGAGATGGATTGACGCAGTAACTGGGGTCATGAGGGTAGATGTGTCAGAGACTCACCTGGCTCTGGACAGAGCAGAGTTCAGAGCTATTGTGCATAGGGTTGCTATGAATCACAAGCAACCTGATGGCCCATAACAGCAACAAGAACAATAACAATACCCAAACATCATGCTTGGGAAGGTAGAGGGATGGCGAAGGAGAGGAAGACCTCAAGCAGGTGGATTAACACAGTGATTGCAGCAGTGGGCTTGAGGGTGTCAGAGATTTTGAGGATGGCACAGGACAATACAGTGTTCAGATCTGTTGTCACTATGAGTCATACTCAACTGGCACCTAAGAACAACAACCCAAAGCTGTATGGATAGCAGCATCCTTGGAATTCAGTCCAGTCTTGTGTTGTTTGTTGTTTATAGTTTGGGACATCAGAGTTATTCCATAAATCCAGGTCTAGTTTTTTCAATTCAGCAAGTGTATTTTTTTTTTCTTGAAAGCTGCTGGCTTCTGTACCTTCAGGAGGAATTTCTTCCTTAATTGTTCCCATTCTTCTCCCTTGCTATTATCTGCCTCTGAAACCCCACTGGAGGGTCAGCTATTAGTTGATTCCTACTTGATGGCATACAACAACATGTGACTATGACTTTGAAAGCAAGCATGCATTTTTCCCTTCTCTGGAATTCTTACTACAATTTTCAAGTTTAGAGTTTTGTTACTGCATGGCTAGCTCAGCCCCATTCTGCCCTAGCTGTTCACACGTTGACTTGTATGATCCACACTGGCTGTCACTCTCCTTGGCCGGGAGAGTAAAGTGTCTGGAATCCTTGGCACACAAAGAATCTCTGAAAAAAACTAGAGTGTAGGCTTCTTCTGGGAAATAGACGGCATTAGGGGCTCTGAATAGGAGCGTGAATGGACTTATTCAAAAGACAGAACCAAAACTAATGGGAAAAGAATAGAAGGGATTTCAGTCTAGTATTGGGAGAATATGTGACTCTTGGAGCGATTATCACTGAAATGTGGAAGTATTGAGCTCTCTTCAGTCACAAATAGTTGGTAGACAGCAGATTTTTTCAGCACACTTAATAAGAGGTGCAGTAGGAGTTTGTGTAGAATATTGAATTGAACTCTGTAATATATGAGAACTGTTTGACCTCCAAAATTCTCTGATTATGGGTATTGTGAATTTTTTTTTTTAAATAATACCTATCCTTTATGGAGCATTTGCTATGCAGCAGACTTAATCCTTCTATCAATTCTATGGACAAGTGCACTTCCTCCTAATTCTTAAATGAGCAGGTTTGGCATAGTGTCCAAGACTGAACACCTCTAAGTAGTGGAGACAGGATTTGAGGTCAACCAACTCTCATTCTCAAGCTTTATACTAAAAGCCACCCAGCCACAACAGTCCATCTTTTTTGACAGTGGACAGTTAAAAGCTCAGGCTGTGAAATCTTTTGGTTATTTTTCACCTGGAGTGGTGAAATTTGAAGCATCAGTATAGAATCCAGGGAACACCTCTAGTATACACAGACATTACTCATTTTAATGTGTTTTGCAAATCTATGTTTTTTCATAGATTGAAGGTTTATGGCAACTCTGCGTTGAGCAAGCCTATTGGCATCTCATTTTTTTTTCAATATGTGCTCACTTCATGTCTCTGTGTCACATTTTGGTATTTCTTGTTATTGAATTTTTTTTTGTAATATTTGAAATTGCTTAATGTAATTGCAGATTTAATTCACTACAATGTAGTGTAAACCTTTTAAGCACAGTGGGAAGCAAATAACAAAAAACTCATGTGACTCCTTTAACTGTAATACTCACTTTATTGTAGATGTCTAGAACTAAACTTGCAGTATTTCTGAGGTATGCCTGCACCCTCTAATTTTCTCTTTATGTTCTTCCCACAGAATTTTAGGTAATTTTTTCTTTGTAATGAGGGACATGAAAGTATGTTTGTGTTTTTGCTCACACTCTCAGTTTAGTAGAACTGAGTGTATTTGATACTCCCAAATTAATCCTGCTCTTTATCAAGACATTATCTTTCAGGCCCTTTGTTACAGACAATTCCTGCTGATGAAATCCCATACCTTAATGTGGAAATCTGAGGAAAACGGGTCTTGTTTGCTTTGCTTTTCTATGTTTGAGTGGAGAAACTTTCCCTTGGTCATTCCACCACTGTGTGGGCTTGAAGGTCCTTTTGCCTCTGAACTTCAAGGAAGATAATTCAGTTTGAACTTGGAGTTTGAGGAAGAGAATGCATTTGTCTTTTCTTCTACAGAGTGTATGAAGATCTAGAAATGTTAGAGACCCTGAGCATCAGACAAAATACCACTTGGGAACCCTGGGCTGAGGATTATGTCAAGCCCCTGTGGGAAAGAACTGGCTTTACAAAAGTCCCTTCTTTGTAAATGAAAATGTAGTAAAGGAATACCAGACCAAAAAACCTGTACATAATTCTCAGAGCAGCCTTTTCAGATCTTATACTTAAAATAGAGGGAGGAAAATGGAATTATTATGCTTTCACCTAGAGCATAGCCTTGGCTTCTTAATAAATCAGCGTGGAAGAGTCTATTGTCTTGAGTACCATTTCTGCTTGAGATGAATGTAAGTGAAGCTTTGAGACAATAATTTGGGCTGAAGTATTTCTGACTTTATTTTGTGCAATGACCAGTTCTTCAAAGCAATTGAAGTAGAAAACAAGTTACATAAATAATTTAAATTTTATCATTTGTCCTCTTTTTAAATTCTGACTCCCAGTGACCTTGAATTCAAGGCTGTAATCTTCACAGAAGCAGACTGCTACGTCTGTTCCAACTGATGAGCTGATGCTACCTTCCAGGTAGCAGCCATGATCTTTAATCACTGCACCATCAGGACTTCTCAAATGTTTAGTAGCCACATTAAAATAGTTAAAAGAAAGAGAGGTAATTAATACAGTAATTTATTTTATTTCTCTTGATAGATTCTGCACACGATTATTTCAGCAGATAATTCTATAGTTGTATATCCTTTTTTCCTTTGAACTAAATCTTTGAAATACAGTGTCTTTTGTATGGTTAACACACATCTCTGTTTGCTGCTGTTACTATGTGCCAACAAATCAGCTACTGCTCACATTGACCTTAGGAAGAACAGGTCGAAACCTTGCCCCACCCTGAACCATTCTCATAATCTCAGCATTCTCTTGCCACCTTCACAGTCCGTCACTGCGTCAGTCGTTGGAGATATTTGATCTGTATCTGCATCTGCACAACTGTAATAAAGCTTACAGTTGAAAAAGATTCACATATCCAAGTTCCTATAATACTTGAAACTTTGAAAACCAGATTCTTTTATTTCAGAGGCTTTTTGCTTTGAAGTAAATGAAATTACTGCCTTACCTAAAAGAGAAAAATATTTTCCAATGCTTTTTTTTCTAAAAAAAATTTTAACTTATAAACTAGCCAGAAATATGTTAAATGAAGCATTCAGTTCCTCAGTCTCACTAATCCTTCTCAAGCACTCAATAGCCATGGATTATTAGTTGTGACAATATTGAGGAATGCTAGTTGAAGCTTACTTATATTTACAAAGCCTATGTTTCCTCTTGAATCTAGCTCAAACCATGTTTTTAAACATCATGTGTCTGGTTTTAAAGGATGCACCCCAATTAAATAGCAGAACCTCCTACTTGACCTACTACTTCACTTTCCCCTCTCCTACGTAGAGGATCTGTAAAGAGAGGGAGGATGTAGAATCTGGTGAAGGGCATGGCTGGGGTGGAACTGTGGTAGATAACTACTTCTGTGATTTTCTTGGTTGGCAGGTCCATCTCCCATTTGCAGTGGTTGGCAGCACAGAAGAGGTGAAGATTGGCAACAAGATGGCAAAGGCCAGACAATATCCTTGGGGGGTAGTACAGGGTATGTGCACATCATGGAGAAGGAGCGTGATGAATGTCCATGCTTCATTTCTCCTTACCGTGGATGGGGAGGTCCTCATCAGTGGGCAGGCAGAAAGTGTGGTGTAGATTCACATCTGGCATGATGCTCACTGGAGGTAAAAAAGGAAGCTGTGGTGACCAGGTAGGTAGATAATGAAGAGAGATGGTTGCATGGCCATAGTGCCAGTGAGGCAGCCCTTCAAGAATGGCCTGTTACGTGGGAAAAACAGTATATATAGTCCTGATAGAAAGTTCTTCCCTTGGAGTTCAAAGTTGAATGGAATCATCCGCAAACTGAGAAAACTACATAAGTTCTTAGTAATTAAGAATGCACTTCTTTCTCTATCATCTCTGAAAACATCTTCCAGTTAAATATTACCTCAGTTAATATCTAAGCATGAGAAAGACCTCTACTTGGCATAATGGGTAGTAACCACAGACTCTAACCCAGAGAAGCTTCCAGTATGTCACTTAAAGGGATAAGAACACTGTGACCTACCCTAGTGCATTTTGAAGGAGTAAATCTATTCTATTGGTAATGGAGGATAACTATAGAGAATGCCCCGTTGGTTTAAGATATATACCTTTTCCTTTGTTCTGAATGAAAAGGCATAACACATTAAAATCCTAAGGAGATTTTTCTTCATTTTTCGGAATCCTATCAATTTCTCCACTGTAAGGAAACCCTTGTCCTTACCATGTTGGTAAAATTGAGTAAAGTAGGGTGAAGAGAATCATGTACAGTTCCATATAGCATATAGTACTGGAAGTAGATCTTTTTTTGGAGCCAGGTGTCATAGTGTTTGAACGTACACTCTGCTCACTCTAATCAGGAGGTCTGCTTGCTTGTCAGAGCCATACTTCTGCGTGCGCTTAGAAAGAGGGAGTTACAAGGTCTACCTTGCAGGCTTACTGTCAGAAGTAAGGCAGTATTGATAAGGTTTCTTCCCATAGTGCCTTGCACTCAGTAGGCACTCGTAGTCACATGTCATCGTCACCTTTAAGGTCAGTGGTATCTTCATTAGAAGTGTAGGTTAATTCCAGCAGAGGGTCTTAAAAGCTTTGAGATCTTAGAGATTTGGGGATTGAAAGTAACATTTTCAAAGTATCACTTCAGATTTTCTTCATCGTTTCTTATCTCTTAACAGTTGAGAATGAAAATCACTGTGATTTTGTGAAACTTCGAGAGATGCTGATCCGTGTGAACATGGAAGATTTGCGAGAACAGACCCACACCCGCCACTATGAGCTGTATCGGCGCTGTAAGCTTGAGGAGATGGGGTTCAAGGATACCGATCCTGACAGTAAGCCCTTCAGGTAAGAAGTGGCCTAGCAATCCGTGCTCCCCAGTTAGTGGTGGGAGCGATGTCTTGTGCATCTCAGATAGGTCTTATTGGATGGTCAGTGATGAGGGGTCTGGTCATTGAAGATTCATAGCAGGTATTGCCAGACATTGCAGTTATAAACTTTGTTTTCATTTTCTCAACTAACTGATACCATTATCATCATCATCCTTATTTTATAGGCAAAACAATGAAGGCACTGAGAACATAATAAGTGAGCTGCCAAAGATCTTATTAGTGAGTGTTGAGAGTGGGATTTGAACCCTATTAATGTGGCTATGTCACAAGGAACTCAATGGCACATAACAACAACCACCACTGAAGCAATGTGGCTCCCATTGTGTTCACCATTACACCTTCATTGATCAGGCACAGAGCTTGATCAGTGCATTAAAGAAGCTCAAACTGCTGATCACAGCTTCACACATTTATTTTCACCAAGCAAGTTTAGCTTCTTAAGGTTCTTGCTTCTTAAAGTTTTCTTAATAACTTTTACAAGTCCAGTACAATGCTAACATCAGTGGATGGGTAGGAAAAAGAATACAGTTTTTTAAAAAGTCTTATGTCTATTTGCCCACATTATTGGTGGTTGGAGATGAAAAAGCAGAGTGTGAGAGTATAGAAATTATTGGATAATTAATGCCTAGCAATAATAGCTTCATCCTTGTTAGAACCCAGGGGTCAGGAAAGTTGCGCACAGGGTAAGCTCGCAGAGTGAAGGTACTTCAAGGGTCTTGGTGGAAGCTAGGATTGCCAGGCAAGGTTCGCCCCCTCCTGGTACAAGAGAGGATCACTTTGAATGGAAGTCCAGCATTTTCTTATTAGGATTTGAATTGAGAGGCACTTTTGGGCCCAGTGCCTCTACCAACTGAGGCCAGAGTTCTTTGGAGAAGATGGTTTTCTTCTTAGACTTTTTCTTGTAGTTCCTGTCCCTCATATTGTGATGTCCTTGAGCCACCTAACTAGAGAACAGTGTAGCTGTGCACAGTATGGATGCATCCATCCTCTAAGTCTGAGCTCTCTTTGGGGGTAGAAAGAGTTTATGTTCTTGGAATTCTCTTCAGGGTGGTTTAATACTATCTAGGCTGGTACCTTGCTGTGGTGGTCCTGTGGACACGTGTGTATTTTGGCCAGAAGAAACAGAGTTCCTAGAATTTCTAATCAAGCTTACCTTTAAATCATCCAATCACTCCCTCACTCACTCAGCTGCCATTAAGTCAGCTCTGAGGCAGTAAATCTTAACAAGAAGAGACCACCCCATCTTGTCCTGGATTCATTGGAGGATTTAAATCACCAGAGACATTCTGCCTTTTGTTTAACAGTGATCATGCTACACTCTTAAAGCTCCAAAAACCCTGTCCTGGGATGTGTAAAATGGACATATTCAAACATAGAACATGTTATTTTCTGAGTTAAGATACAGGAGTCCTTTTTGTGCACAGAAGTCTAGCTAGTTGAACCATGTAATACAGTCACCAGAAATGATTGCTGTTAGGTCTCTGGAATCAGTTTTGACATGTGAGAACTTCGTATAAGAGAACGAAGCACTGCATGGTCCTGCACTGTCTGTATGACCCTTTCTATGCAGGAATCCAGTGTTGTAGTCACTGTGTCACTCAGTTTTGCTGAGTACCTTCCTCCTTTATCAAGTGTAATGCTCTTCTCCAGGGACTGGTTCTCCTAATAGCATGTTCATTCATGAAGGGTTGATGGCTCGCCATGCTCTCTTCTTAGTGCCATTCTGGTTGTACTTCTTTCAGCACAGATTTGTTCGTCCGTCTGACAACCCATCAAGTAAATACTTATCATTTTTTGTCACTGCTGTAATTCAGAGACACCAACTCTTCTCTAGTCTTGCTTACTCATTGTTCAGCTTCCCTATATACATCAGGTGATTGAAAAGACCATGGGCCACCAACCTTTAGTCCTCAAAGCGACTGCTTTGATTCTTAACATTTGAAAGACATATTATATGATAGATTTTCCCAAATACAATACAGACATACTTCTTAGATGCTGTGGGTTTGGTTCCAGACCACTACAATAAAGCCAACCTTACAATAAGTTGAGTTACATTAATTTTTCTGATTTCCTGAGACATAGAAAAGTTGTGTTACCACTGTACTATGGGAGTATGTAGTAGCATTATGAAAAAATTTGAAATACTGAGAATTCTCAAAATGTGAGAGACATTAAAAGAGCACATGCTTTTGGGAAAATGTTGCTAATAGAGTTGCTCAATGCAGGGTTGCCTAAAACCTTCAATTAGTGAGAAATGCAATTTTCTGGAGAATAAGGCAGTGCAAATAAATAAAACTGGGTATGCCTTGACATCCTTTGATTTCTTGACTGTTGCTTTGTGGTTTCAGGTGAAATGAAATCGATGACAGCTTAAACTTTTCTCCATTTATCATGATGCTGTTTGTTGGTCCAGTTGTGAAGAATTTTGTTTTCTTTATGATGCAAACTGCACTCTTCTCTTCCTCAGCAAATGCTTCTAGCAATCCAGGTTGTGCTGTCTGGTTATCTGCATACTGCTGGTTATTTAGGAACCTTCTTCTAGTCATATTACCACAATCTTTTTTATATAGTCCAGAGACCCAGATTATTTGTACGGCATACATACTAGATATTTATGGGGAAAGGATACAACCCTGATGTGCATCACTTCTGTTTGAGCTGTTACCTTTTTGTTTATGTACAAGTTCCACAGGAACATGATTGGGTTTTCCAGAACTCACCTTCTATGCAGTGTTACATAGAGTTTGTTATGATCCACACAGTCAAGTGGCTTTGCATAGTAAATAAAGCATAGATGAAACATCTTTCTGCTATTCTTTGCTTTTAGACAAGACACATGTTAACATCAGCAATGATATCTCTCATTCCATATCCTCTTATGGTTGCCTTAAATTTCTGACTGTTTCCTGTAGATAGACTATAGCAACTGCTTCTGAGTTCTCTTCAGTAAAAATTTATTGTGATTTGTTGTTATGTGCTATCAAGTTGTCTGAGACTCATATTAACCCTTATGTACAGTAGCTCTAAACCCTGCCCTATCCTGAACAGTCTCACTGACTCCAATATACTAACTCCCATTGGTCCAGTAACTGTATCAGTCTATCTCATCCAGGGTCTTCCTCTCCTGCGTTGACCCTCCACCCTTCCAAGCATGATGTCCTTCTCCCAGGACTGGTCCCTTCTGACCAGATGCCCAAAGGATGTGTGATAGGGATTAAAAAGCCTTGCCTCCAAGAAGAAACTTGGTTTCACCCTCAGTAGGACAGACCCGTTTGTTCTCTTGGCAGTCCATGGTATGTTCAACACTCTAGCTGCAACTATCTGCTAGAGTACAAAAGCCAATATGATAGGGCTTGTGATACCGTTTGACAAAATTTTCTCATTCTGTTGGATCATTTTTCTTTGGAATGGACACAAATATAGATTACCAATTGATTGGCCAGATTTCTTGGTGTAAATGAAGGAGCACTCTCAGTGTTGAAACACACCAGTTGGTATTTTATCAATTCCTGGAAGCTCATTTTAAGCACCAATGCTTTTCATGCAACTTAGACTTCTTCGTCCAGTACCATTTGTTCTTGGTCCCAAGCTACTGCCTGAAATGTTTGTTACCCAAGTAGTTCTTTTTGGTACAGTGACTCCTTTCTCCTGCTTTTAATACTTCCTTCATCATTCAGTATTTTAATAGACTCCTTCGCTGTTATGCTTCACCTCGATGCTTGAATTTTTTCTTCAGTTCTTTTGTTGTTGTTAAGTGCTGTCAATTTGTAGATGACTCATAGCAACCCTATGAATGAAAGACCTGGACACTTGTATAACTTTCATCCTTTCTCCAGGTTCATAGAGTTTCCAGAGAAAAGCTATTTTGGAAGTGGATGCCGCTCCTGCTTCCAAGCCTGTTTTGTTAGTTCTTTTAGCTTGTCAAATCCTGAGCATCTTCCCTTTTTGCTTTCTAACTTCATATGCTTGAGAATTTCATAGGCTTTTGAATTTCATTCTGACACTTTACTTTGTCTTCATAAGTTGCCCTTTCAGAACTTGTGTTCATCTCTGTAACAGCAGTGTAGTAGTCATGGAGAACTAATGCCTGACTTCCTCTAACTTTTTAAGGGGGAAAAATTGCTATCAATAGCCACAGATAGTCAGTTACTATGAAGTCAGACATGCCTCAGTACTCCACGCTGTCTTCTAGTAATTTCAACACCAGTCGTCTCTCTTACAGCTCTTGTGACTGCAGGATTTGACAGTTCACTGCAATGCCTCCCAGACAGTGCTCACAGTTAAGGAATTTATGACAGAAGTAACAGATTGAAATACAGATTGGAAAGACTTAGGATACACTTCTTCAATCAGGGTAGCCTCTCCTCAGGCATACTCACAGACAGACCTCTGTCTGGTCATAGGGCTTTGGTCTCTACTTTGCTTGAACAAGTGTTAAAAAGTTCTATTGCTTGTCCAATTATGCACCACTCCCAACTCTGTCAGTTAGTCTAGCTCTGAAGTTCTTGGCATTAGCTCTGTGGCCGACCTTGCTCAGCCCTGTCTTACACTGGTCCTTGCCACCGCTGCTGCCATCTGGACTGCTGGCTGGTCTCTCCTCCCTGACTCATGCAGACATCTTGGATCCAAAGGGCGTACTGCACTCTCTGGTTCTTCTTTCTTGATGGCAGTGAGATCCCCGTTTTCTGCCTCTGCATCTATTCCATTTAAGCCTGGAAGCACAGCAAAAAGAACAATACCCACATTAGTATTTGCATACCTTATTTGCCTAGTCTTGGAAGGGCAGATGACATTGACAAAGCTATCAATTAGAAAAGCCACATTAATAATCCACTATCACAAACTTTTTTCCCTCATAATTTCTCCCATTCACGTTAGCTACTTTAGGTTCAAGAGCAAGTTTCAGAGACTCTTCTGTCATCCATTTTCCTCTTTTCCTGTCTTAAAATGACCTTGTGATTTCTTGATGTGTGATGTCCTCCCTAGAGCCCACCGGGTCTTCAGTAATTCATGTGTTGAGTACATTAAATCTGTTCTTGAAGAGATCTCTAAATTCAGGCGGTATTTACTCAAGGTTGTACTTTGGTTCCAGTAGACTTGTTTGCATTTTCTCTAGCTTAGACTTGCATATGAGCAGTTCTTCCTCAGTTGGCACGTGGCCTTGTTCTAACTGATACTGAGCTTCTCCACCTCTTCTCCATCTCTTTTCACAGATGTCATTGATTTAATTACTGCTTCTCCAGCTGGTGAGGGCCACTTAACGCATGTTGTTGATAAAAGGTATTTCTAATGAGTCAGTCATTGGTCTTGCAAAATTTGATTATGTGATTTCCAACCGTGTTTCATCACTACAACTTATTTTCCTGTGGGACACCGTGACCTTTATTTCTTATATTTTTAATAGATCTTGCCGAACTCCTTCCTGTTCTCAGAACATGCTTTCTTGACATATTGCGCGCGCGCGCGCACACACACACACACACACACATACACACACCCCCGGAAACCAAAAATCAAAATGAAACTTGCATCCCAAGATATCAAAAAGTATTTGGGCTTATAATGTTTGTTTTTAGGGTTAGCCATCCACTGATTGAGGTGGAAATACCTGGTCAATGGTTTTTGTAAAGATTATATGTTGTTGTTTGGTGCCATCGAGTTGTAGGTGGACCCTATGAACGAACAGCCAAAAAAAAATCCCAGTGGTGGGACAAATACTGCATGGTGCCACTGCTGAAAAACAGGACTGACATCGGGGTTGAGGAGAGACTGAGAAAGATGGATTAAATAATGTATACTGCATTGAAACAGATGAGAGAGAAAACTGTTTAAAAGGGATATGTGACTAGATATTATTGTCATGACAGGAGTCCAGAGCGAAGGCTGCGTAGTGGAGTGGACCTGGGAGGAGGGATTGTAAAACAATGAAAGAATTTTTCTTTTACTTTTCAAGGAGAAGGGTGAATTGGGGGAGGGTGGGATGAACAGGGAGAAAAGTGCAACAATGAATGAATGGAAATCCAAAGTCTCTGCCAATTTTCATTAAAATCAATAATAATAATAATAAAATCCTTGTGGTGCAGTCACGTGGGTTCTCTGAGTTACAATCAAGAACAGTTACAGCAGCTGGCCAGGAGTCACCATATTTGCATGCAGCATATTGCTAAGCCTCACAAGTGGGGCGATGGGGCAGGGCAGTGGGTATAGCTCCTGCTCTGAGCCAGGCAGCTTGGGTCAAGTCCTAACTCTGGCCCTTCTTCATTGCTAAGCATTTCTCACTTAGAAAAAAAGATGTTAATAATTGCAGTTAAAAAAAATTAGCTTGAAGAGCTAACAGTTGCAAATGAAATAAAACTCCTTAGGTATCTGTGAGTGAAAAATAAAAAACCAGGTCCTTCTAGACTGATTCTCAATGACTGGAAGCATTGGTGAGGAGGATCATTGTCTCTACTTTATAACTTGGGAAGGTACTTGGGGAAAGTTTCTCAGTGAGGGGTATAGTTGTTCCAAGTTAGTTACTCATAAGGAGTTTATTCTAAGTCCTTGGGGTAAAGCTTTAAGATTTCTCTTTCTCCTATATTTGGTGGTCATTTCCAATGTCAGAGCCCACAGACCAGATTAATTCTTTATCTGTGTATGGATTTACATGCAAAAGTGCTTCTACCATCTGAATTCCTTTTACCTCCCTTTGAATGACAGCTGTGGATGCCAGAGGTTGGACTTTTGACTCTAGTACACTTGTGTTAATTTCCTTCAGCTTCAACTTCAACCTCCCTTTGAATGGAGAGATGTGGATGCTGTTCAGCCATTCTACATGGTGGTGGGATCTTCCACAGTTGTTATCCAGTCTGTAGCCTGTCCTTTAGATGAATTTGGTTCCTGGGCATCAGTGAATAATCCTACTTATATGTATTAACAATCATTGCTCTCAAAAATCTTACAAATTATAAGTATATGTGTATGTGTTTTTTAAGTTGTTTTATCAAAGGTGATTTCCCCGTAAAAATAATTGTTCTGTCGTGAAATGAATCTCAGTTATGGCATTCAGTTTAAAATATTTTATTCTAAATTTTGTAGATAGGAGGGGAATGGATTTTCAAGTGAAAATAAAATTAATTGCTATTTATAATTGGTTATTGTTGTTATGTGCTATTGAGTTGGAAACAGCCCCTCACTGACCCTCCAATGGTTTTAAAAGGCTATAACTCACATGGGAGGAGATTACCCATCTTTCTCCCAGGGAGCAGCTGATGAATTCAAACTGTGTACCAGTTGGTAACAGAACTGGGAAAATAGCAAGGTTCTACAATACCCCTCGTGATACTAGAGTCTTTGTAATTTGTAATCTGATGAAATGACAGATACCTTACTTTTCCTCCATTTAATTTTGAGAGCAAATCCTTAGAAAGTACATAGTATTGCACCAACACATAAGCATGATACAGCTTGGAGGAGTGTGCCTTTCCCAAGATAAGTTGCTAAGTCTGATATGGTCAGAATTCAAACCTTGATACATCTGACTCCAGTGCCTAGTCATTTCCCCCTCACTGTGCCATCTTTATCTTCTAAAATTTGATATCCTACTTTGACCATTACCCTTGTGGAAGATACTACTGTGCTCAGCCCAGATTTCTCTATATAAATACATGTAAGAGAAAACTTAACTAGTAAGAAGCATGCATTTGGTTACCATCTCAATTCTGGTTTTGATGCACTTGTCTTTGCAAATACTGCATAAACAGAAAAGGAAATTTTGCAGTGTGTTTGGATGTGATTTAATATGGTAAGCAACAGCCTCATTTTGGGGGGCATTAAATGAACTGATTATTTCTCTTATGCAATTTCATGACATGCTTCTTATTTGGGGTGATTTTTGAATAGTCTTCAGGAAACATATGAAGCAAAAAGGAATGAATTCCTGGGAGAACTTCAGAAGAAAGAAGAAGAAATGAGACAAATGTTTGTTATGAGAGTCAAAGAGAAAGAAGCTGAACTTAAAGAAGCAGAGAAAGAGGTAAGCCTTCATTCTTTCTTTAAAGAGAAGTAACCCAAGGGAGGTGTTTTATTACTCCATGACATTTTCTAGCACTACGTGCTTCCAGTGCTCCAGCATGTAAATATGTGACGAGTGGCATACTAATATGCAAGAAAAGTTTCATCCTCATTTTATTTTTATTACACGTTTTCTTTCTTTCTTCCTCACTTCTTTAGCCCACCCAGCAATGTGCCCCTTGTTCCAGATTGTTGTCGAACATATAATACCTAATCAAGTGTTCCTTTCAAACTATTCTTCACCCTCACCTGTTGTACTGCAGTGTTCATTGTCTATCCACTCTTCCGATTCTCTGCCTACCCCATTCCACCCTTCTCTGTCCTATTTTATAACAACAGTGTTAAACAGTATTTGTCCTTTTGTGACTGAGATATTTTACTCAGCATATTGTCTTCTAGGCTCCCCCATTTGGTATAATAATTTATGGGTTTATTATTTTTCAGTGCTGTATAATATTCCATCATGTGAATGTACCATAGTTTTTCTATCCATTCATTTGTTGTTGGGTATTTGGGTTGCTTCCATCTCTTTACTATTGTGAACAATGCAGCAGTAAACATGGGTGTGCATACATCTCTGGTTTCTTTAGGGTATATTTTTAGTAGTATAATTGCTAGGTCAAATGGTATTTCTATTTCCAACTTTTTGAGAAAGTGCCAGATGGTGTTCCATAGTGGCTGTAGCATTTTACACTCCTACCAGCAGTGATTAAGAGTTCCAGTCTCTCCACAACCTCACCAGCATTTGTTGTATATTTGTCCTTTTGAACTCTGATTTTGTTGCTGGGGTGAGATGATATAGTTCTTTTGATTTGCATCTCTCTAATAGCAAGGAATTTTGAACATTTCTTCACGTGTGTGTTTGCGATCTGAATTTCTTTGGGGAAGTGTCTCTTCATTCATGTCTTGTGCCCATTTTGTGATTGGGTTGGTTACTTTTTTCTTGTTAAGTGTTCATCACTATTTTGTAGGTAATAAAAGGAATCATAAATGTTAAGTCATTTATATAATACACTTAGTATGCAAAGCCACAACTAAAACTAAATCTTAAGTCTACAGGTCTTGGACTAGAGGTTCAATTTGAAAGGAACAACTAATCTTGTTTGGGATCTGTTTTCTCAATTTTTGTAAGCCTCAAAAATTTGAGGTTTGGAATTATATGGTTATTTTCCGTTTTAGCCAATATAAACACAAAATCTAAAACTGACTGCTAAAGAGTTGGCTCTGACACATGGTAACGCTCCACTGGGTTTCTGTAACTGTTTCTGCAACAAGAGGAGACTGTCTATCTTTCCCCTGATATGGATTCAAAGTGATGAAGACATGCAGCCTTTTGGTTAGCAACATAACTCCCTATGGACTATACCAGGAGAGCTGAATAATAGTAGAAGACCCTTGTTGTCATGTGCCATCAAGTCAGAATGGAGCCATAGCTGACTTTCCAGTGGGTTTTCAGAGGCAGTAAATCACATGGGAGGAGGTTGCTCATTTTTTGCTCATGGAATAACTGGTGGATTTGAACTGCATGCCTTTGGAATTATAGTGCAGCTTCTCAACATCTTACCACTAGACCACCAGCACTCCCTTAGGTAGTAGGACCCTAAGGCATTATCTAATGGATGGTGGGTAGGTAATACACATTTAATTGTGTATCTGTGTGTGTGAGTGACTGGTCTGCTTTCTCTGGTAGATGATGAGGATTATAAGTGCTCAGTACATTGCCTACTGAAATCGTCTCATTTTCCTCATCATTCCATTTAATTTATCTGTATAAAAATGACTGAAATGGAGAGAATATTTAAATATGTAAATACTCAAAGTAATTTTGCTTCAGAGAAAGGAAAGATAAGTATTTATTTGCTATTGCTTTTAGACCCAAATGTATGCTCAGAAATTCCTACAATTATCCCATAAGATCTCTCATTCCTCCATTGATTTCCTTTATGTTCTCATTTTTTTTTATTCCATTCCTTCTATTCTGTTGTGTTTTGGGGCTGTGATTTTTTTTTTAAAAGCTATTTGTCTAGGGACAGAAATTTCTTAGCAGAGATTATTTAAATAATGTATGCCTATATATCTAGTACCTATCTGTCAGCTTGTCATATTACGGGGCCTCGTGCATGGTTATGATGTTGGCAGTTGTGCCACCCTCTCATCACAGTGGACAGCTTATTAATAGGAAAATAGTACTGAATATCCTACGGACTGACGAAAAAACAAATAGGTCTTAGAGAAAGTGCAGTCAGGGTTCACCTTAGAGGTAAGGATGGTAAAACTCCACATAGTCTGAACATGTAAGGAGTGGCTAGTCCTCAGGAAAAAGACATCAGGCTTGGAAAGGTGGAAGGTCAATGAGAGAGGAAAACCTTCGATAAGGTGGATTGGCATAGTGTAACAGTGGGCTCAAGTCTATCCAGAGATGTTGAGGATGGCACCAAATAGGGTCACTATGAAATATGATCAACTCAGTACTTAACAATAACAGACCAGGAAGAAAGGCCTGGTGACCCACTTTTTAAAATTAGCCAATAAATACCCTATAGATCACCAAAAGTAAGTGATACCACTAAAACGTACGCAAGAAAAAAGAACCTGTTGGTAATTACTATGTGTGTGGTGGTGTTAAGGGCCGTGAAGTTGACTCTGACTCCAAGCAACCCTTGTATGATAGAAGGAAACACTGTGGTATCCAGTCAGGAGGGTGTCTCACAGCCACTGTTGTGCTTCGGCCCATTGTCGTAGCCTCTGAGTCAGCTGATCTCACTAAGGACCCTCCTCTTTATCCCTGACCCTCTATTTTACCAAAGCATGAAGTCTCTCTGCAGGGACTGTCACTCCTGATACCCTGCCTAATGTGAGATGAAGTCTCACAAGCCTTACTTTTCAGGAACATTTTGATTCACTTCTTTCAAGAAAGGTTTATCCATTCTTTTGTCAGTTTGGGACATATTCCATATTCTTCCTAACATTGCAGTTTAAAAGCAGTTCTTTTTCAGTCTTCTTGTTCACGGTCAAGTTTTTTGGCATGCATATGAGGCAAGTGAAAATACCATGACTTGGGTCAGGCTCATCGTAGGCCTGAAAGTGGCATGCTTGCTCTTTAAATGGTACATGTGCATACTGGTACGTATATGAGTATGCATATGAATATGCATCTGCGTGTGTATGAATATTTATATAATAAAACATGTAGGGAGCACGGTTATGGCTACTTCTTAGACATAACCCAGACCTCAAAGGATTGCTTTTCTGGGTTTGAAAGATTAGTACCATTATCTCATGCAAAATTTTGGTCAATTGGCATAATAGAGTTTCTAAAGTTCTGTTTTACAAGTGAGTTTGTTGAGTAGCATCTGGGGTCTTAACAGCTTGTGGATTCTTTGTTATTAAAAAAATATATATATATATAAGGAATCCCTCAGACCCAAAGAAGCCAAATCTCAAAGGATGCTACAGCTCTAAGTGAAACACGTCACCATATTAGCCTACCTTCTCCAGTAAGTCAACCCAAAAGTACTTAAGCCTGTAGTCAAGGCTACTGCAGTAATATGACATATGTTGTGTTTCCCAAATAGATTCAAATAGAAGGAGCTTGGGTGGCATAGTCCACACCGAGTTAGTTACACTGTTAACCTAGAGGTAGCACTTCCTCGAGAGGTTCCAGTCCACCAACTCCTTCGAGAAGGATGGGCAGTCTCCTCTTGAGTGACTTCCGGTCTAAGAAAACCCATTAGTGGGTCAGCTATGAGTCCGTTCCATGGCAATGACTTGACTTAACCAAGTAATAGTCCGTCGGTAAGTGGTTTAGTCCCTTCCCTAAGCCTGCCGCCTCCTTTTTCTCTCCAGCTCCACGAGAAGTTTGACCTCTTAAAACGGACACATCAGGAAGAGAAGAAGAAAGTGGAAGACAAGAAGAAGGAGCTTGAGGAGGAGGTGAACAATTTCCAGAAGAAGAAAGCAGCAGCGCAGTTACTCCAGTCCCAGGCCCAGCAGTCTGGGGCCCAGCAGACCAAGAAAGACAAGGATAAGAAAAAGTAAGCAGGTGCCACCCCCGTGTGCCAGGGACCCTCAAGAGTCCTTCCTCCTGCATGTCCGTCCTTTGCCCGTTTGTAGACTGGAATCTGGTTTATTACCAGAAAGATCAAAGCAAGTATTTTCTCTACAGTGCAGGAAAGATGATAAAGATTTTTTTTTTGAAAAAAAATATTTTTAGAGGGTACACAAACGTTAATTTATTAGACTTGATCACACTGATCCCACAATCAAGACTGGAGGATCCTGTGCCCCCAAGTGGTTCCTTCCACACCAACACTAGGATTCTCTCAAGACAGGTTTGTTTCTCTTCAGATCCCCATAAAGACAGTGCTCACGACTTTCTTCATAAAGAATGACCAAAAATTGTGATGCTTCAAATTATTTTCCAGTGCTGTGTTGGAAGGTTTTATAAGTGTTGGTCAAAGTCTTGTTCCTCACATGAGGTCTTTGCAAGGGCTACTAGGGGCCACTTCTCTTCCTCTAAATCCAGCAAGCTGAAGGGATGTTTTATTGTCAAAATGGGATAGATATGCCTGTCTACTTAAAATACCCCACCAAGCCTCCAGCCAGCCACACATGTCCCCCTCCCCACAAACCATTTTTAAATAGGGCCTTGGTTTAATGTGCCAAAGGTCAGAGTATGATACTTTAATGGCCATTGCCAGGGAGAGATTTGGGCCATGAAATGCCCCTGTGATATGCAACTCTGAGTCAAATTACCTTAAAGACGACAGAGTGCAGTTTCTTGACACTAGCAATTTGTGTGACATTAAGCACAATGGTCAGCAGGATAAAGCTGATAAAAACCTCTGTGGTGACCATAGATACACATAGGCCGACTTGCCTTGTCTGTGAGTAGGCCACTCTTCAGCCAGCTCCAGAGCAATTCAGATGTGTTTCATGATCCTTGCTCTTCCTTCTTAGATGCCCAAGTTCCCGAGGAACAGCTGCAGCTAAGTAGACAACAAAGACAGTGGTGCTTGAGCAGGGAAAGAATTATGCTCTTAAAAAATCATAATGTCCAATGCAATTCACCTTTTGATTTCCTAACTGCTAGTGTCAAGAGTCTTGATTGTGTAACCAAGCAAGCTGTACTTGTTAACAATCTCAATCTCTTCTCCATCTATCATGAAGCTATCAACTGGCCTAGTAGTGAGAATCTTTGTTTTCTTGATGTTGAGCTTCAATCTGTATTAAAGACTACAGTCCTTGACCTTCTGCAGAAAGGAAAAAAAATACATAATGCTTAGGGTTGCGTCTCTGCACAGTTGACGAGCCCTTTCCCGGGGAAAGTGAACCCAGCAGGGCTGCTCACTCGGTTCTCAGGAGCTTGCAGTCAGCAGGTTCCCTCCTGAGGAAGCTCATGGCATGGTCGGAGGTAAACATGAAATTGCACCACAGTGTCACACCCAGAGGGGTTCAACTCATGCTTTACAAACATTGGCTTTCCACGCTTTGAGGCAGCAGGAAGTGTTACATGAGCGAGGGAGCAGGCAGAGTTTGTAGATGATAATGGAGGTGGTTAGTGTCAGTGAGGTATGATTGCAAAAGGGGTGCAGACAGAGTGAGCCAAGGAGCCAGAGGGCCTCCAGTGAAATTCTGGATTCATTCTTCAAGTAGCAGTTGTGGAGATTATCCAGTGCTGGCAAGCTCTTTGTAACAGTGCATCCTCAGAGAGTGTTGGCATTAAACGGGAATGCTGTGCACTCAGATGACTGACAGAGGACAAATCAAAGTCTGTTTTCCAAAACAGTGTTTGGCTTTATACCATTGTTGATCAAACAACGCACGATTGGGACGTGTGTGTGTGTGTGTGTGTGTGTGTGTGTGTGTGTGTGTGTGTGTGTGTGTGTACACACACATCTACAGGCATGTATGAGTGAAACAGGAAAAACTGCTGACTCCTAGCTTAGGAAACCCAAAGTCATAGTTTTTTGGGATTTTTTTTTAACCATGAAGCACTTTTGTGCATAAAGGTACATGTTTTAAGAGTCACAGTGTTAAAAAAAAAAAAAAAGTCATAGTGTTTATAAAAGACCAACAAGGTTAAAAGAATATTTCATGTATACTGGATGTGCCTTTATGTAATACAAATTCCAAGACTTAGTGTTGGACTCAGTATTGTGCCTCCTTTTGGGAAGAATGTATCTAGTAATACACTTTTCAGTAGAGGGAAATTTTTCCTTGCCCTTTTAATTATTATTTTCTTCCCATTCTTGGGCCTTACTGCTTAGTGATATATAGTACTTTAAGAGTGTACATGACTTATATGTAAGTCCTCGTTTAGCCATCTTTCTGTATTCTCATTTATGATTAATGTATTTAAACATAATTTGGTTCAGAAACCAGCTTGCAGGCTTTGCACCTGCCAACACTTCTTGTGTTTTGTTTTTTTAAAAAAAATGTAACTTCAGGGTCCTCCTTTTCCCACACTTTTCCATTTGTGTCATGAAAGCAGTAACCAGGTGGAGGCCTGAGTAAAAGAGTATAATAAAAATTACACTTCAGTAAGAAGTGCCAGGGCCAGTAGAGAGGACCTGAGAAAGACAGTAACCAGGGTAACAGCTCAGCATTGCCCTAAACAGGAAGTCTTCCTCCTGGCTGAGGTAACACTAGTACAAGTTAGGTAATTGTTTTGTTCTAGGTAGAAAGGGAAGAGAAAAAGAGATGCTTATTTATGTACCTAATATCTGTTTCCACCTAAGAGTTTAGTTTCTCTAATAATTTTAAATTGTGGGTTTTTTTCCTATTCTAATGAAATGCTCCCTTTTTAACATAGGTAAGGCTTTATCCTTCTCCTTGACCTCTAGTGGCATGAGAACACATAACATTTCCTAAGGGTAGAGTCAAAATAGAACTAATCCTGGCACTGCTATTAGCCGGACCCCCAACTCCTGCCACCCCTGGCCGCCGACTCACTTTCCCTGTTTGCGGCTACACCACAGTGGTGGGACTGGCCCCGGGTAAGTTGTTCAGTGGACATTGCTCATCTTTTCCCAAAACTTTCTGCATGATCGCCAGCCAACATATGCTGGCCATGATGCAGCCATGCCTAAGAAAGTTAAAACAGACCATTTTCAAATGGTACCTGACATCCAGTAGCTATAGTTGATGCTATCTCCACTCATCTCCACTCCCCTCCCCAAGTATTTGGAATACAGTTGCATGTTTTGTACTTGCCTCAAATTAGAACCAGTGTACTATGGGCCTTGAGTTTGGCAGTGCTTTGTACATAAGCAAGGGGGAAGGCTCCTGGCATTGCTATAGCTTTAACCATATAGTAATTTATTTTCCAAGTGCATTAATGGCATGCTTTCCATCTACTGTATTCTAGTCCCCAAGCTACTTCAGCCTTCTTCTCCAAGGTCATGGCACAAAACGTGCTGCACTGGCGAAACCTGTAAGAGGTGGACTTCGACTGCCCTGCTTTGTTTTCAGAGTGTCCGCTTCACAGAGCTCAGCCTTATCTCTGTCCTTCTCAATTGCAGTTGCAATTTCCTTCTCTGATGGGTTTCTGCCTGGCACAGGTGCTGGCTTTTGCTATTTATCCTCTGACTCATTCAACAGCTCAGAAGTGGAAGGTGAAGGTCCCGTTAAAGTGCTCATCAGTTGTCCACACTGAACACAAAATGGTCTGGCGTCATTTGAGACAGGAGATCTACCTCAAACATTCAGCCCTTGTGTTAGTGAGTGTACAGTGGTCTCAAGAAGTCACAATGAATTCCACATTATGCAAACTAACCACATGGTCTTTAGTTTGGTATTGAAATGTTGCTTGTGCTCGCATAGTGGAGCCTACTTGGATTGTTAACGGTTTTAATTTGTTGGTTCCATAGTCATTGCATGAGCATTCACTGCCCCTGAATGCTGGTGCTGGCACTCCTAATTTCCCTTTCTTTTTTAATTTATCATTATTTCTAACTTGTGTTTTGTTTTTTAACTTGCAGTGCAAGCTTCACATAAAGCCTGGCAAGCCAAGGATGTTCCCGCATTCACCTGCTTTTGCAGTAATACTGTGTCTCTGCCATCTGTGTCCTTTTGTTTGACTATATATGGATATTTTTTTTTTCTTTTTTTTGCCCCTCCCCCAAATGCCAATAACGATTAACTCATTGTGCTGAATGTTGTTGGGTGCTGAAGAATGAGAACAAGGGATGCCAGCAGAAGCTCCGTGCCGCTGGGCGTGGTTTCTAGAAAGTCAATGATTGGCCTTTTCTGCCTGTTCAGAATGGCAGCAGTCAGCATGCCTGTCATTTGTATGTTGCTTTGGACTGAGAGAAGGAGGGTAAAATGCCACACGTACGCCTGATGTGAAAACATCTCACTGCCTCAGCAGCTGAACTATAAGCCTGATTAGCCATGGCAACAACATGCACTTTCTTGATTATTCATCTCCATGATTGCGAAACTCTTGAACAAGCTTCCCTTAGCCAAGATAGTTTTGTGTGCAGGCAGGACAGTGGGCAAATGCCACAATGCATCAGGGTTTTTTTACTTTTACTGGTAACATTGGGTCTGGGTTTGTAGATCTTTTCAGACTGACCATCACCTTTTAAGGTTTGAACTACATTTGAACCCCTATCCCACATCCTGACCAAACTGGGAAAGGTTAGTCCTGTAAAAATGGTGATTTCACTTTAATGAGTGCAACTTGATCTTTTCATAGACAGAACTCTCCTACATTACTTGGTAAGAGACCTTTCTGTTAAAGATGTGGTAGCCTAGTGGATAGGGGATCACACTGCCAACCCAAAGAGGAGTAGTTCTAGTCCACCAGCTGAGCGAGAATGATGGGCAGTCTCCTACCACGCAATTTACAGCCACTAAAAAACCGCTGGAGGGTCAATAATGAGTCACTTCTAACTCAGTGGCAGTGAGGTGGGTTTAGTGTTGTGTGTGTGGTTTTTTTTGTTTTGTTTTGTTTTGTTTATTTTAGTTTGAGACTTACTACTTAGACCAGGAATCTTACATCAGCATACATGAATCTGCTGTTAGTGAGTTAGGTGGGAAGAGGCCTTGTGTAAGTGCTTTCGGTACAATTTTCTCTTAAGCATGAGGATAAGAAACTGTCCAGAAAGCCTTCACATGGGATGCTCACCATTAACTGTCCTTCCCAGCACACACTTGAAGGGGCTTGTCATTGAAGGGAGAAACAGGAAGAGACACAGCACAACCAGGTCCAGCAAGCAGAAATTTAGCTTCATGTCTGGCTTCCTTGCTTCATCTTCTTTCAGTATTTTGGCTGAAGAGGGAAAAAGAAATGGGGCAGCTGAGGTTTGGAAGCCCGGTTGTCCTGAGGGAGTTCCTCTCAGCTTTCTTCTCACCACAGCAACCCCTCTCCCCGCCCTTCTCCATGTGTCCAAGGACAGTGGAGACGAGGCAGCAGGGCCACGTCAGCTCACATTAGGACTCCCACACACACCGCACAACTTGTGCCCCATTTGAATGGAAAAGGGCAGATTTCTTACCGTTCCTTTCTGATGTTTAACCTTTCATCTTCTCGGCTTGCTTTCTCTACTAATAAGATCCTTTCGACTCTCTGACTTCCCCATCTCGTTTCTTACTTGAAAGGATAGCCTGGTTAATTCACCTCTGATTTTCCTTCTGGCTCTCACCAGTCATATGTCAAATAAAGAAAACAGAATTCATCTGGACCCCTAGGCCAGCTCACTGACATAATGCTTTTTAGAAAAATCAAATTTAATTCCAACACAGATTCCCCATTCCTCCTGCACCCCCCCCCCTTTCATCCTCTTAAAGACTCATTTAGGCTTTATTAGCAAAGTAAAGAAATCCGTTTCATTTAGGAAAGGAATAGGAATTGCAAGCCAGAAGCCACAGCAGCAATCATAGTATAAAGACTAGTTTTGGAGCTACTGGATCAAGGTTACTTTGTGTGTTGCTTTATGATTCTAGTCTGAATGACACTGGCTATGGAGTGGACCAGTATTCAGCAGCATGCTGCTTGTCATGGGCTGAATTTGCTCATATGCTCTGCACCAGACAAAAGCTTGAATGCTTGTGTGTGCTTGTACCATCCGCTGCTTGTATGAGCATTTTTGTGCCTTGCGACAGAAAATACACTTTCCGATTCTAGTCCTTGCATCACTAAAGCTTTGTTAACATGAGCCCAGCAGTGAAAGGCACCCAGCTGACTTTTTGATGCCAAGATTATTGACTGATTTCATCCCCACCCTCCAGCCCCCTTCAGTTTTTACAGTAAAATTCTATGGAGAGTCAGGGAATAAAAAGCAAAACAACAACAACAACAAAACCCTAGCAAAAGGGGGACATAGGAGCTTTTTTCTCTTTAAAACATGTATTGCTCCTGGACTTCTTTCCCACCTCTCCTTCCCAGCCCCCTTTGCTTTGTTGTTGCTGCTCTCTTTCTTTCTGTATCTGCCTTTTTTCACAGTAGTCCTTGGCTCTGCACGGAATAAATGATACCCTCAAATCTAATTGGATGTGCTTTCACCTCTGCATGTAAGTACAGTAGTAAGAAATTTTTGAGGTTTTTCTGGCTGTTAAAAATTACAACAAATATGGGATGGATGGATTTCTTTTTTTTTTTTTTTAACCCCCTTGTTTTTGAAAGGTTTAGTGAAGCATTGGTTTGGGTAGCCTTTGTTTAAAAGGAACAAATTGAATATATTTTAAGGGGCTATTTAAAAAAAAAATCATTCTCTTAAGACCCACATAGATTAATTTTCCTGTTACCAGTCAGATGGGACTCATACCAACTCGTGTTCTACCCAGTGTTTTGGGCCTGACTGGACATCCCAGAGAGTCATTCCTTGTGACACCCACGCATTTCATAATGTTGGTAGAGTTAGAATGAGAAACTACCAGTTACTAGTGGAAAAAATGAGAGAGGAAAACACTTTTTTTTTTACCCACCAGGGCTGCTGTTTTGACTGTTTAATTATTTTGCTGATTTTAGGGAGCTCTGATGACATAGGCCACAAGGAGTTTTACGTTGTTCACCTAAAAGTGGTGCCTATATTGGCAGTGCGAATCCATCAGCCGCTTTGCTGGAGGAAGATTGACCTTGACCTCCTGTGCTATTTACAGCCTCAGAAAACCCAGGAGGGGTCAGGTCTGAGTCGATTCTGACTCCATGGCTGTGGCTGAGTTTATAGTTTAATGGTCTCACCTCGGGGCCTGACAATGATCACATTTTTTTTTTTCTTTTTTTCTTCTTCTTCCAGACTTATCTGTCAGTTGTATACATTGTAAGTTGTCGTGAAAGAGCGTTTCTAAAGACTTACTGACTGTTCAGAGACCATTTTCCCAGACTAGGATCTTTAGTAATTGGCCCAAGGTTTTGTCCAGGCAGGGCATCCCAGCCAGGGGAATCATTTATTGTAATGCTGGGCACAAGTTTCTTATTCTCTTCCTCCACTGCTTTGTAATCTCACCAGCAGTAACACTTAATTCTCCATGCCTTGTGCACCTCAAATGAGTAGACCTGGTTTCCTCATTTTCCTGCCATGCGCCTTAGTGTTTAAAATACAAACCATTCAGTGGGGTTTTTCGGCTGTTACCAACCCACGTTGTACTGTCTCTCTCTGTGGTCCGACTAAAACCGTCCGTTCAGATCCCTTTGCTTTGTTGTATACGCGTGTCTAAAATCATTGAATCTCAGCTTCCAAAAGTCCTGATACTGTTGGCAGGACACATGTGATGACTCTTTAGTGGAAATTATGACTTACTAAGTCTAGATTGTTATGTAGGTATGAAGGGAACTTTTGAAATAAATTTGAGTATTAAGCTGTGAACAGCGTTAGACCTTTGTCCATTTCTTTAAAATATGCTGATATGCCTTAAACTGTAGTTGTAGATTGTTGTCATTTTGCTGTTTGGAAATAACCAATGTGTTTTCTAAACTGTTGTGTAATCTACTTTTAGTGTTAATACAGAATTGTCATGTATGTAAGCTGCATGTTAGACACTTGTCTTCTTTTTTAAAAAAACAAAAACAAAAAAACAACAAAACTAAAACAGTTGTACTGATGTGAAATATGTAATTTTTTCCCCCTAAGTACAAAAGTAATTGCTTATCAAATTAACTTGGTAATGTGGTGTCTATTAAGGTTGGAGAGTGGTGGACAGGTGATCTATGCATATATCAGTAGTGCCAAGACTTAAAAGTGGGGGGAAATATATTTTTACCCAAACATTGTTTTGTGTGCCATTTTGTGAGTTCTTTTCAGTCATTGCTTGATATGCAGACGTGTACGTGCATCTGAGGCTGAGAGAGTCCTGTGCTCTCCTGCCTTGTCTAGAGCACTTCTTTTGACCCTACGTTCTGGGCAGTACCAACTCTTCAGATATTTGCTCTTATGTTCTGTACTTGACATGCCATTTCCACCACTCATCATTCATTGCCATCCCATGCTGCCCTTCATTAGCATCACCTTGCGTCCTGCTGCCCTGGCCCCGAGGTGCTTCCCCTTCATCCCCAGCCTCTGGTACCCGCACTGCTGCTGCCCACCTTCCAGGCCTGCTTGGTGAAGCCCTGTAACCCACAGACTGCTGTTCTTCACAGCTTACTATAGAGAATCACCTTTGCCCTCCTTCCCCTTTTCTAAGCTTTTAAAATCAAATTTGAATCTGAACCTCTCTTTTTTCTCTTCTGTAGCTTCTTCTTTATGTAACCATCCTGTTGACAAGCCCTACTCTCTCCTAATGGACATAGAGCATTAGAAGAGCAGGAGCTGTCTGTCCACACGTGTTGGGGAAGAGTTACCTCATTTCCACCATCGCCTATTCCTTTAACGTCTGGGTCAAATATTGCACTGCTGTTTGTATCTGTCGATGTCTGTTTACAAACCACTGCCCACAGTGGACGCTGATATGACTTACCACTACCAAAAATAGTAAGATTAACACAATTTTAAAGGAAATTGAGTGAAACGAACTTGGGCCAATACCCAAGTTAGCCATGCTGAGATTGCTAGCTGTCATGTTCTTGAAACTGCTGATCCAAGAACTCACGGCCTGAAGACAGCATTCACTTTCCTCAGAGGTGGTCACCCCTTCCAAGACTTACAAACTTGATCTAACCCTAACTCCAGATAGACCTCTTTGCCCCATGAACAACTTTCTGAACAGCCTGATCAGGACCCTACACCATCAGGTCATAAGATCTGGGCAAGTTTCCTTTTGTTAGTTTCTGGGGTGGTTTTGGTTTTGTTCTTGTGTTCTTTTAAATTTACTATTGCATGCAGAGTTGACTGCAACTTTTTAAAAAAAATCTGGAGTGTCCTATTGATGCAATGTTTTTATTTTTCAGCTGACCATCTGCCTCTTGACAGAGAGAAGTGGGCATCCTTCCTTTAAATTCAGGAACCATTGTTTTA